TAGGTAGGTAGGTAGGTAGGTAGGTAGGTAGGTAGATGTTTCCAGGTGTATTTATCCATGTGCCGGAGAAGGAAATTGCTGACAACCTGCAGCACCTAAGACTTGTTTCTGCTTTGCACAGCACTTGATCAATGTAATTCTCATCAATCACTCTAACTAAAGAGTGATTTTTTCCGAAAGGAAAAAAAAGTGTTTACACTCTGCAAACCTCCCCAAAACAGCCTGTTATATAAACTTGTTATATATTATTCTAAATGAGTTTTGATATTATATCTTAATGAAATCAGAAAAAATAAACCATTTAAATAGTGACATTTAAAGTTTTTGTTCAGAAGCATATGGGAGAATTTATTCAACATTTGTCTATTTAAAGAAGCCAAGTACTTTAGTTTTTTTTAAATCATCCACCCACACATTTTAAAGAAACACAAAGGTATGACATACTGCAAATATTATAAATTACAATCCATTTCTGCAATCTGAACTTGTTAAGGTGGAATGGTTCCAAAATATCAGAACCACAATCGGCTGTTGAAGTTAATGTTATATTTTTCTGCCATAATAGACTTAATTTGCTTTCAGTCTTACAGTCTTACTATGCAGTAGTAAAACTTCCAAGCCCAAAATAGAGTATCAATGTTGCTTTGAGGTGTTTTGTGATCTCTGTAAAAATCATTTGCTCAAATCCTTAAACCAGACACCAGGAGTCAGTGCCTAATCCAATGGTATCCAAGGTGACATCATACTTATGTTTATCATCTAACCCAAACATTTCCAGTAAGTGTTATTTTAAACCTGCTGGTTTTCATCGGACCAGCTGCCTAAGTGATTTAGAGATGTGTCCTGGGCTAACTGAGTCCTCCCCCACCCCACCCACTCTTTTCAAGTTTATACATTGTAATCCAATATTTCTCAACCATGGCAGGTGAATTCTTCAACATGGCTGTTTGGGTAATTAAGACACACCTCTTAAAGTTGTCAAGAGAAACACTGTTATAATCCAAAAAAGTCCAGGCCATCGTGGATATAGATAATCTCTGCTGCAAAACCAGGGGATATATAATATTTGGTGAATACGAATTCCAAAGTTAGGTTACAAAATGATAAAACACAGAATTGTATTTGGGAACACTTCTAAGTTTATGCATTTTACTTATTTGTTTATTTAAAATGTGTAATAAATAGACAACCTGTTTCTGACATTGACTATTCCCATTGAAATTTTTGTGATGTTTGGATACTAAATGTGCATCTACATCCCATTGTCTGAATCTACCTGTAATATAAGGGTTTCTGTATCTGGAAAAGAGATTTGTAAGCCACTCAGAGTCACCTAGAATGAAGAGGGAGACCACATAAATTTTCTAAATAAATAAGTATTCTGGTCAGTGACTAATATTTTGGCAGATTTGGAGGTTTGTCCTTTTCCCCACCCAGATCCTTTCCAACTGATTTTTCATTAGTGTAGTGATTCAGAAGCTATTACTCATTTGCTGTATAAGATGCCTGTTAGGTGCAGCCTCAATTGCAATATTTGAAAATTCAAACTGTTGTTATTTGTCTCTTGAAAATATGCTGATTTCCCCCATTAATTTTCAGTTATTGGCTATACATTCNCCTCCCTCCCTCAACCTACGTACCTACTTTTTAAAAATTTGCCTCTTCAAAACCTTGGTGCGTCTTATACTCCGGTATAAGAAAAATACATATTTCTATTATCTACGCTCATTGGCAGTAGCTGTCCAAATAGTCTTACTTGGTGAACCTCTTGATTTAATTGTGTTTGGCACTTTTTGTATTCCTCAAACATTCCAGCTTTCTAAAGGTTGTAATCTGATGATTAGCTTACACAAACTGTGGTTTAAGCTGCTTTGTGGTCAGTACTCTCAAATTTGATGTACAAAACAGCCTGCTCTTTGTTAGCCTGCTATCCAATAGCTTTCAATACACAGCAGTAGCAAACTCTACTTTCATGGCTCATTGTGGAAAGAAAGAATCTAACTTGATAGAAGAGAAATGCTTTCATGTTCTTTCTTTCCCCAACCTATTTGTATGAC